GGTGTCAGAAGTGCAGAGAAATGACCCGAAAATAGGGCACATCTGCAGTGTCCCTCAAATAATTAAATATAATAGTAAATAACAGAATGGATGTAGATTTACCCCATCTGCTGAAGTCATGCAAAGAAATTATTTCATCACAGGCTGGGAAGGCGTGGAAAAATCGGCGATCTCTAGAACAGATTCGTTCTCCACAATTTAAAACCTGCCAGGCCAGCAGGCTTGGTTTCCCCAGCTGGCTCAGTCTGCAACCTGGAGTCTGATCCCAGGCTTTGTGGGCCTGTGTGGCCTCTGTAGCTCCCGCATAATCTGCCCTTTTAGCATTAAGTACCCAAGATGCTGGTCCCCGAGCTGCCCCACCCCACCCATTCATGACTCTAGAAGCTCTGAAGTTAGCGATTCATTTGAGACATCTCATCTGTTAGGCTCTCTCCTTTTGAGAGCACAGCCAAACACTAATAAAAGTACTGACCACTAGGAGAACGGTGGGGCCATTCAAGAGGTCAGGACTATAAAGAGATTTCAGAGTCCTGGATGACCAGTTTATTAGAAAATTACTCCAGAAAGGATTAGAAAATGTCTTAAGCTGCTTACAATATTTTTAGGAACTAGGGTGAGAAGATGCTATTTGTGTGCAAAATAATCCCATAAAGGAATTACCTTTTTTTTTCTTTAAAACCTCCCATTTATATAATGACATCTTATAGCCAGCTGCCTTTACCCATCTGGCAACTTAAAGATTTCCTTTTAGTTTCTTTGATATAGAAATTACTTACCATTAGGTCCGCCACTGGGCCTGTTTAATTGGTATTAAAAGAAAGCACCTCCATTGCCAGATCTGTGGTTTGTCACGGAGGCTGTGAGTGACCAGCAAACCTTGGCCCCTGGAGTAGCAGAGAGGATGCAATTACCTTTCTGTGTTCTCCAGAGGCTTTAGGGGCTCAATTTATGAAAAGGATAACTAGCTCGTTGCTATTTCATGTGTGAAATTTTAATGAATTACTGGCAGTCTTATGGTTTTCTTTCTCTCTTAATTTTTTGAAAAAACAAAAAAACCAAAAAGCCTGTTTTAGAATTTTTAACTAATAACCCTAACGAGTATTTTTGATTAGTCTGTCATTCTTGTTTATTGCAACTGATGGATTTTTACTTTTTGTAGAAACACTATTTATGCCCTCGGGAGGTTTTCATTTTATAATTAAAATGCTCTGCAGAGCTTGTAGGTGTGCTCCAAGTGAATGCTCCTGTGTACACACAAATCTTTTTAGTCCTTAAAGGTAATTACATCTGACAATAGGAAATGCCAGAATGCTTATTTAAAGAAGGGAAAGTTTCCAGTGGGAGTGGGGGGAGCTTTCATTGTAGAAAATCAGATGCTTTACAGTATTATAAGCTCTTTCCCTATAGACAGCAGGTATAAAGCCTCAGGGCATGAACCAAGAAAAATGTGCTTTTAATGCAAAAAGGGGAATAAAAATGAAAATAGATGCACCTCTTCATTTGGTGGTCCTTTTCCGGTCTTCCCCTCCCCCCTTTCCCCACCCACACCAGATTTTACAACGTTTTTTTCCCTCCAGTGTTTGTTTGCAGCTGTCTGCCTTGTTACAATCAGTTGTTCCGTAATCACCTCATGGGGGCTTCTCTGGAGACTCAGTCCGCTGCAGTGCAGGGAATAGTCTCGATGAACGTGGTGAGATTGCCATGGAGACAGATTGCCTGGTGTCAGGTCTCGCATAGTGTTGGGAATTTACAATCCCCAGACGTGTTTGTGAGCTGGACAGTGTAGTTAGCAGGGACGCTTCTGGAAGTCATTTCCTCGGTCCTTTGAAGGGTAGCAGTGTTTGGGAAAACCAGCTCTTGGTTCCTCTCTGGGCAGGAGCTGTGCTCTCCCACAGATGCCTGCTGCTTTTGTTCCTGCTTGTTGCTGCTTTGTTCTCGGGCTGAACGGCTGTTGTAAAAAATAATCCTGACTGCCCGACCTTTGGAATATAAACTGGGAAGAACTCCTTGTTTGGATGTCGCTTTGTAGGTGATATGTTGATGCTTTGATTCGTAGAATTGCTTAAGAGAAACCAGAAAGTCTGCTATAGGTTTCAAATATTGTTTTAGTAATAATATAAATAAACCTGACGGGGACTTGTGTAGCTACATTGTGTTTTATTTTGGAACTGAGTACAACCACTAAGGTATTATGAAGACCTCAGGAGCAATAATCTCAGAATAAATAAAAATATCTGCACAGCCTAAAGAGTTGACAGTTTGTTAAGGAGAGGGCAGGGTAAGAGATGAACCTTAAAAGATAATACCTTTGTGTTTTTTTACATATACTACGGTAATTAAATCTCTAAAACAATGCCGTGTTAAAGGCATTATTATTGTTTTTTTCCTTTACAAAAAAGCAAACCAAGAGGTGAAACAGGAGATTGCCTTGTGATGAATTAGATCAGCTAAAATGTGTGGTGTGGCTCGGCGTCCTGCCATAGCGCTGGGGATGTTAATGTGGTCTGCTGATCACTTTCAGGGTGCCTTGTAGCAGCGTTGGCTGGCTTGATGAACCGCGCTATCCTTGGGCAACTGTGGTACTCAGTGACGCTGTGATTCCTCAGCGGGACAAGAGGGCAGATTTAGGATCACTTGCTGCTGGTTATAGGGTTCATCCCTGGGCTCCTTAGCTCCCTCAGCCTCGTGGTGGCCCTGGCTCTCAGCCATGTGGAACCAAGGAACACGGGGACTAGGTCTCTTCCAGCTGTGTTTGTATCTCACCTCTGTACCTGGGGCAAGTTGGTGTAGGATAATAGGACCATGTTCTGCCTGGTTTCTGGTCTACTACCATTAAGAATTTCACCTTCATCATGCTTAAGCTGCAAGATTAAGTTCATGCCGCACTGCATTGCCCTGTTCACAAAGTTCAGAAGGTAGCGCTGAAAAATTAGAGATATGCTCATAACCCAAATAGGGGAAAGATCCATGAAAATGTTCGTGGAGGATTTCTCTAGAGAAGGAACAGAATTGGGGGGTAGAGGTTCAGGGCCTTTCAGTTTTTGTGTATGTAATCTGTGGTTAGAACAAGATAGCTATATATATTTAAGCAAAAAAAAAAAAAATCCTTGGGAACTAGAATATGGTACTGCTTTTATAGCCTGTGGATTTAGCAGGCCGTAGAGAATATAGAACCTTTAATTGGAAGAAATCCAGTCTGCACACTAAGGTCGCTGATAGATGTTTTAAACCAGGAATTGGAACTGAATGAAATATTGATTTGGTTCAGGTTCAGTTCAAAGGCTACTCTGATATTCTGGTTTTGTTTCAGGTCAATAATTTTAGAAAAAGCGTAGGTACAGTACAGTCTAGTTGAGCTTCAGAAGAAAAAAGGGTTGGCTCAGCCTTCTATTCAGCAAAGGAATACTTTATTCCAGGTTTTGCTTCAAATGTAACTGTGATGCAAAAACGAAATCACTGGATGTTAATTTTATTTGACAGGGAAGCCTTCCTGCCATTTTGTAATTATCAGGTGAGATCATGAAATCTGGAGCAGCAAAGCTAACCCGTCACAAAGTGTTTTGTTTATATTGAGATAAATGTGTACAGTTTCAGGTGGCTTCCTTGAAGCATGATACATACTGTTAATGAAGCCACAGACGAGGGGATCCGGGCTTTTGTCTGTTTGTTTCAGAAATTCCCTTTGTCTTAGAGCAGTTTTCCTGGGGACTTTCCACAAAACGTGTTTTATGGGCTGAGAACTGGGTGAGGCTTGGGACGTCACAGACGTTCACTGAGGGCAGCAAACGGAGTATGAAGTTGATGGTAAACATTGTGATGGAAAAAGCGTATTTGGTTTTGGTTTGCTTTCCAAAATGATGTTTGAGAGACTCAGTTGGGCCACATGGTTTTCACAGATTCCTTTTAAAGCAGTCTGTCTTCGCAAGGTGATTTTCTTGCTGAGGCTAGGCTACCGACCAGCCTGAGACCTTTGCTTTTGCCCCTCAGTTTGCACAATCAAGTTTGGTAATGCTGCCTTCCAAGGCCTTGACAAGCACCGCTCAGCAGACCGAGAACTGGTATGTGCTGGTCTGCAAACTGAGAGGTGGTATGCAGGGTCTCTGCACGGCATTCTGGGTTGGCTGCTTTTTCTTTCCTGGGTCTACTTGGCATCATAAGAAATTATTCTATCTGAACTCTCCAGTTGAGCCAATTAATTCTGCCCTCCTAGGGGAGAGGATGGTAGTAGAATGTGTTTTTGTGTTATGTCCGTCGGAGCTCCTGGGTCCAGGGCTATCCTGGTTTTCTCCTTGAGATTTGGAGACCCTCAGATTCAGAGGATTAGGGCCCTGCAGTGTTCTCTTTGGTAGTGGTGAATTTCCTTGATTTGGCTGTTTCTCCTAATGAAACAGTAACCTAATTAATTGGCAATTAGGATGCCTCAGAAGTCCGTTTCCCTAGGAGTCAACTGCTAGATAGAATATGATTATAGTAAAACCCCAGAATATTCCCCAACAAAAGGAAAATGTACACAAAAAATTCTGGATGTCACTGCAAGCTGTATTAGTTAAGAGGGGTTGATGGAGGGGCTCCTGGGTGGCTCAGTTGTTAAGCATCTGCCTTCAGCTCAGGTCATGATCACAGGGTCCTGGGATCGAGCCTCGCATTGGGCTCCCAGGGATTCTGCTTCTCCCTCTCCTCTGTATCCATGTTCTCTCTCCCTATCTCTCTCTCTCTCTGGGGGTGGGGGGGGGGGAGGGAAGAGTGGTTGGTGGAAGCCGTGTACTTAAGTGATGCATCATGAGAGAGGGAGTATTACATAGCCCTCTTCTTCCTTAGACTAGTTTTGGTCAGTTAACTATAACCTTTCTTGTCAAATAGAGAGAACACAAGCCCCAACTCTCTACAACAGCTCTGATTGTGTCCTCTGTGTTTTTGCATGGAGTGGCTATTTTTGGAACTCTTCCTGTAGAGTTACTTGCTGAATTTCTTCAATCTCCAAATCCTCTTGTGCTTTGCAGGAGAAGCTGTGCCCGAGGATGAACAGATCAGTGCTAAGGACCAGAAGACCCTGGAGCCCTGTGACAACACCCCCATCATAGACAATATTGCTCCTGTTGTCGCTGGCATCTCTGCAGAGGAGAAGGAGAAGTATGATGAGGAGATCTCCAGTCTCTACAGACAGCTGGATGATAAGGTCTGTAGCCCGAGATTATAGGCCTCACTCTGGCTCTGAGACTAAAGGTGGCAGGTCCTAGACCTATTGGCCAGAAGCAGCTTCAAGCCCCATGGGGCTGATGTAGGGGGGTGCAGACTGATGTTATGTCTGTCTTCCTAATATCTACCCTAACTCTTGATTGGGCAGACTTGGGGAACTTGATTCTTCCGGAATGGAAGCTTTCATGGAAGTTTGATTGGAAGACTGGAGAGTTGGTCTAGATAGAGAGATAGTCTTCACTTCTAGACGTGGGACTGGGGCTCATCACTGCGTGTGAGTGGGGGTGGCGAGAGTGTGTCTGATCTTTGTTTAATTGTCTCTTCTATTTTTTTCTGGGCCTGTTCCTCACCTCTTGAAAACTTCAAGAGTAGTGCCGGCTGTAGCGACAGTGTGGTGGCTCCTAATGTTAAATGTGTTCTGTAATCATGTAGCTCTCAGGCCCTGGGATGAGGAACCATGGTAGTGGCGTGGGGTCGGACAGCTTGTCCAGTATTGGTAAATCTGTTTTCAGAGGAATACTCTTGAGTGAAATAGTTTGAACATGCTGTTAGGATTGTCTACTTTTATGGCAGACTTTTGGGGCTCAAATAGTCATGTAGATGCCCAAGTTGGACCAAAGGAAAAGAGACCTTGGAGAACACTGTTCATCTCCAGTTAAGGTCGGGCTAGGAATCCTGGAGGCATAGGAAATTAAATTGATGTCTCATGTGACCTTGGCATATTGCCCTTGGAATATTCTAAATCCTTTCAGTTCATTTCATCAAGGTTGCTGATATTTTTAGTCTGATTTAATCTTTTTTGCTGTGGTTTGGTTCAGAGTGCTTGGGGACACTTCTGGTTTAGCTGAAACTGCTTTGTTAGGTGCACATTGCCATTAATCTTACAGGCCTATATATTCTGAGTAAAGCTCGGTCTGCATCACCTTTACAAGCAAAATGTGAAGCAAGTTCTGTTTATCTAGGACTCTGGGAATTTGCGTTGTAACCGCAGCGTTAAACTGGGGACACTCCTACCCTTTTGGTAGCCTCTTTAATGAGATATTCACACCTTTGAGAGCTGGGTTAATTGCCCTTAGGCACTTGACATACTGTTATCCTTCCATTTCCAACCAGATATGATTATGCAAAACTTCAAAGTAAGATAAAAAGGAGATCAATAGTAAGTTAACAGGGTATGCAATTTCTTGATTTCTCCAAAGAAATGCTATTGTTTAAACATACTGCAGTTTTCTTTTTCACTTTAGAAATGATGAGTTCGTTAGTAATCCTCAAAGATTTTTGCATGAGGGATGATAACCTGATTCTACACTTTGTTTTCTATGAATAGACTCCTGCCATGGTTGGAATTGGGATCATTTCCTTTGGTAGCATAAGGAGCTTTCATTGATCGAAGAGAGACTGTAGAGTCTTCAATGTCGCTTCTGAAATGTAGTGAGGAGGACTGAGTGATGAGTGAGGAGAATGCCAGGCCTTGGGGATATTCAGGTGGTAGCTGGCAGAGCTGACCCTAGTGTCTCTGCCTCCTGATGACAAGCGTTGGACACTTCCTGTTATGTCATTTTCCTATAGTATGTGCTTTGAAGATCCTCTGAAGCACACATTTCGAGGTTAGCATCTGTGGTCTCTCACAGGGGTTGCTGGGATCTGACAGAGTTCTTAGCCCACACGCCTCAGCCAGGGAGGGCCCCAAAGCTGGTGGTCTGACCCTAGTGACTCTACCCATGGACTGCCTGATTATGTCTCATCAGCTGTCATTCTTATTTGTCTTCCGCTTAAAGGTTCTAGAAGGTACTTCATGCTTCTGACGAGATAAGTAGTTTGGTACCTTTGAGAAAACATGAGTTGAGACAGAGCATCTTCGTAGATTACTGAGTGGTGGAGCTGAAAGTATCAGGTCCCGATGAGAAGCTAGCCCGGGGAGTACGTGACTTGCCCAGTTTATGTCACGTGTAGGTGGCAGAGGTGGAACAAGGCTCTGTATCTTCTGGTTCCCGGGGCTGTGGTCATCCTGTTTTGGTCTTAGTAATTTAGATGAGGAACTTGTCAACCCTAATGAATCTAATTAGAATGTTGTGGGAGAAAGACTGCACAGTCTCCCCCCCAACTCCCCCTCTGCCCCTCTGTGCTGTCCCTCCAGGGGTTTCAGGATAGTTACCATCAAAGGCAATATTGTGCGATGGAAAAACATACACTTTAGAGTCAGACCTGTGTCTTAATGATGCTGGGGCTTGGACTGATGAATGGCCTCCCCTGCTGAAGATGTTTTTCTCATTTGCAGCTTGGGGCTCCTATCTGCGTCCTCAAAAAGTTGCAGTGGGGATTAAAAGGTTCTAGTGTGTAGAAATTGCTCAATAAGTAGTAGTTTCTTTCTCTTCTGGGTTCTGTTTACTTAAGGGAGAACACCATCCTACGTGGCATGGGGGGGGGTGGTGCAGAGGTGGGTTGCAAGCAGAGTTACAAGAAGAGCAAGTTGGTGTTGGCCCTGTTTCTTTCACTTCTCATTTCCTCTAATACTAGTGTTCTATTGGAAATATGTGAGAGGAATTAAGTGCAAGTAGAAATATGTTGAACCTTATTCCACTAATTACCATTGCAACGAGGACATTTTTTATAATTAAAGGTGGCACGTGACCAAGTGATGGCTCACCATTTCACATGCAGGCAAATTTAAGAACAAGAATATTTTCTGACAAGTGCTTTGAAATCTGTTGTCTGTGGATTAAGAGTCAGCATCAGAGGGAGCATGTTCTAAGGAATGCACTCGAATGTATAGATATAGACTGCACAGCACATTTTTTTATGGAAGTTTTGAAAACATTTTAAGATTATGGTAGACTATGCTAATTCCTTGGAGAAGTTGCCTTAACAAAGGGTAAGTGTAGTCTTGGAGGTATCTCTGGTATAAGTCATTCATGTCCTTACTATGTAATCCTTGTAATCCCAGATGGGCTGGTGGCCCTTGGTTTCTTACTGTACCTCAAAAATCATTGCACCTGGCTTTTCACCTGTCAGGGAGGGAGCTGTACCTTCAGGCTTTGAAGCGAACACAGTGTAAGAACAAAGGGCTGGCTTCACCCTTCTGCCTCTCTCCTGATTTGTATCACTTGGAGTCGTTGCTTATGTATCCCAGGGGAAGGGATGGCAGCTCCCTGATGTTAAACTCCTTGAGTCTTTTATGTTAAGATGTTTAATATTTATGTGCCAAGGAACATAAACACAAAATTGTTCCTGGTAACTGACATTCTAAGTTTATAAAGTAAAAGAGGAAATATGCCCCACAGAATAGTCTCCTCATTGTGCAAGTACCATTTTTTGGCTGTTTCATTCAGTGTAATTTCCCTAATTCTCCTGCCAGAAATCGGATTTGAGGAGGAAAGTCATGAGCATTTTGTCAAACCATTAAAGAAACATGGGTGTAAAAAGTTCAGTAGAAACGGGGTTCCCGGAACAGAGAAGAAATAAGGCCAAAAGATGTTCTACACAAAGGAAAATGAGGTAGAGATCCGTAATCCTGATTTTAGGACTTTCTTGCTCATGGGTCAGTCAGTCCGATTTAAATGTATGCATACACAGGACCAAATAGGCTAGAGAATAGCCCACGGGGTTCTGCAACTCAGACCCTTGAGTTCACCCCTGTAACCTCACCTCTGGAAAAGCCAGAAGGTGCAGTGCAGGATTTTTCTGGGCTGCTGGGAGAACATCTGGGCAGCACCAGGCATGCAGGACCTAAAATACTGAATCTGACTCTGCATGGGGTTTGGAGCCTAGAAGTGTTACCAAATAGGATTTTTCTCCTGTTTTTTAAGGGAGGGGTACCGTCAAGCAAAGTTGTTTTTCGCAGGCCGAGGCTTCACATTTGCATTTGAATTCATGAAAATTTTTGTAGTGAAGGCCGAGCCCCCCTGGTGAAATGCTGTCCTGCCTGCTGCTTTGCCCAAGCTGGGTGGCAGAGTCAGGGGAGAGGCAGACGCGTTTGGACCAGGCAGGATGAGGCCGGCGGCTCTGGCTTTTGTGGCAGCGACACCTAGTGGCAGGAAATGAGAGTGACGGAAGCAAATGGCCTCTGGGGAGATCATTTCCCACTTTAATGATAGGCCAGAGAGTAAGCATTATCGTTTCTACATCCCCCACTTCCTTGAGTTTTTTTTCGTTTTTTGCTTTTTTAGACTGGCAAGAAAATTAACTTCTAATCAAGCGGGAGATCTGCTCATGCCGAAGATTAATTCTCTAGTGAATGTTCTCCAGTCTCTCTAAGTAAGAGATTTGAAGTGGAAATACTGGTCGCTCCTTCCGATCACATGGCAGCATTCCTGGTCATTGATGTGTTTGACGAGATTTGGAACATGAATATATTACAGTGCAGATGGTTCGAAATTCACTGCCTTATTTTTTGTTAGCGTCTTTGAATTGGGAGTGCTAGCTCCAAAGTCCCTTCCGATTCCCAAACCCTAGATCTTTGATTTCTGGATGAGCAGGAATTTAGTTCAATATGTAGGATATTTTATATCCCAGAATACCCAGTTGTTTCACCTGCTGAGAAAGGTGGGCGCAGAGGAACTTTAACCAAATCAAGATCCCAGAGCCAGTGTCTCACCTATGAGGAAGCACCACACCATTCCCTTCATCTTATCAGTAAAGCTTACAGCTGACACTCTGGTATCCGACTGTTGTCGGGAAACCAGGATACCAAAAATGACATAAGTAACCCCAAAACAATAACATGATGTTTCGTTTCAGGATGATGAAATTAACCAGCAGAGCCAGCTGGCTGAAAAACTAAAGCAACAGATGCTGGATCAGGACGAGGTAAAGAATGCAATAAATTTTTTTTATGAAGTTCTCTTATTACTCTTTGTTGTTGATGTTTGTTCCAGAGATTTAATTCGCAAAGAATTTTTTCAAAAATCATTGAATCATGTGGACATTTCCTGGCAGATTTCCTTTCAGGGCCTGTTTAAAGCTGATTTTTGAAAATAAATACCTGACTTGGTAGAGCTCTGAGGTGTTTGAGAGTGAGTAGTTGGTGCTACACGTAGTCTTTGAAGAGCAGAGATAAAGGAGTTTGGTGGTTGGGCAAAGATGATTCTAATTCCTCATACCCAGTGCCCAGCACTCCTGTTGCTTGCTAGTTTAGTTTTTTCCCAGCTTTGAAAACCAGCTGGTTCGGGTCTTTTATATACACTATGTTCTCATACTATCTTGTAGGAATTAAATAACAACAACAACAAAAAAAGTAGAGATGGAGGGGAAGGGAAGACAAAGAGGAAGGGGGTCCAAGTGCTCACATAGTATGTGTTTGGTACAGTAAAAAGGAGCCAAATTGTTTTCAGTCTTTCCCTGGATGGTATTAATATCTCTAGTGAGTGTCTTCATTGTGTTGTGTTTTGCCAAGTATTTTACAAATAGGAACCTAAGCAAAGGGTAGATAGCCAGTCTGTCAAACATAGATGATTAGCGGTTCTCTTGCTGAGCACCATCGAAGTATTTTTTCTCTTTTGTGCTTTAGAGTACTTTCTGCTTTGTTGCTAAACTGCTATGGACTGGATCACATCATATAATTCTAGGTGGCTTGGGTTCATGTCCCTAGTCCCAGCCTTCCCACAGAGCAAATTCTCTCTACAGCCATACATTTTTTCCTCTTTGTTTTCCTTTGTTGCTCCAGGGCAATGATTGTGGCCCTTGTCCAAATACTTCCCTTGGCAGGGAGATCATCTATGCTTTTGCGATCAGATCATTTTACTTTCTAATTTTTATTTTTTTAGAAGACTTTATTTAGGGGGCACCTGGGTGGCTCAGATGGTTGGGCATCTGCCTTCAGCTCAGTTCATGATCTCTAGGAGCTGGAGCCCATATCGGGCTCCCTGCTCAGCGGGGAGTCTGCTTCTCTCTCTCCCTCTGCCTCTCCCCTCCGCTTGTGCTCTCTCTCTCTCTCAAATAAATAAATAAAATCTTAAAAAAAAAAAAACTATTTGACACAGAGAGAAAGAGATCATAAGTAGGCAAAGCAGCAGGCAGAGGGGGAAGCAGAATCCCTGCTGAGCAGGAAGCCCGATGTGGGACTAAATCCCAGGACCCCGAAATCATGACCTGAGCCGAAAGCAGAGGCTTAACCCACGGAACCACCTGGGCGCCCCAGAGCAGTCATTTTAAACTGATTTTTCTCTTAGCTTTGGTTGGGTCTTCCATCTGCTTAATGTTTCCTGCCTCTTTCCCCTCATTCTGTGCCTTTGCATCTCTAACTTGGTACAACTGCCTATGATAAACTTACTTTATGTAACAGTTAAACTCAATATTTTTTTCTATATTGCCAATTTTACATAGGAAAGTCAGAAAATACAATAGGCAGGAAGATCATGAAAATGTCCACAAGCCTAGTCATTCACTTTTAACTAATGTTAATGTTTGGGATATATCCTTCCATACATTCAAGATGAATATAAAGAGAAGTTGACAGTTGTCCTTGTATGCTGTTTTGGTTGACTCTGTGGAGTAATGATAATGTTAACAGCCATGCAAGTATTACCGTTGTCCTACGGGATGACTCCGCTCATTCTTTGTTCAGCATTTGGAAGAGCCAGCAGCAGCAGAGTGTAGAAATTTTTTTAAAAAAAGATTTATTTATTTATTTATTTGACAGACAGAGATCACAAGTAGGCAGAGAGGCAGGCAGAGAGAAAGAGGGGGGAAGCAGGCTCCCCGCTGAGGGGCTTGATCCCAGGACCCTGGGATCATGACCTGAGATGAAGGCAGAGGCTTTTAACCCACTGAGCCACCCAGGCGCCCCAGAAATTTTTGATTTGTAATCAATTCTTTGAGTTCAGCCTATGCAGCTTTAAACGTAAATAAATAAATAAATAAATAAATAAATAAATAAATAAAAATTAAAGAGAAAGATTTTTGAAACCTCATGCTATTTTTTAAAAATTATTATCTAGATAGACAGTAGGATTTCTAGTCATGCTGAGCATGCTGTATCTGCTTTTTTGGAGAGTGCGTGAGCGGCAGGGAGAGGGGGGAGGGCAAAGGGAGAAAGAGAATCTTAAGTAGGCTCCGCACTCAGTGTGGAGCCCGACACGGGGCTCGGTATCATGACCTGAGCCAGACTGAGTCTTGAGGCTTCACCAACGGAGCCACCCAGGGGCCCTCCCCTACACCCCCTACCCCCACCCGTATCTGTTTTTAAAATCACTTTATTTGGGATAGAACACAGCACAGAAATGCTTGAACATTACGTTCATCAATTCCATGCCATCTCATTTCCCCAGCTTTTGGCTTCCACAAGAAGAGACTACGAGAAGATCCAGGAAGAGCTGACACGTCTCCAGATTGAGAATGAGGCAGCCAAAGATGAAGTGAAGGAAGTTCTCCAGGCCCTGGAAGAGCTGGCTGTCAATTACGACCAGAAGTCACAGGAAGTGGAGGACAAGACCAGGGCCAATGAGCAGCTGACAGATGAGCTGGCCCAGAAAACGGTTGGAGCATCTGCCTCTGGGGGCGGGACTCTGGGCCGGTGCTCCTGTACTCGATGTTGACGTCTGTTGACAGACACTGTATAGGAAGGCAGCTGGCAGGGTGGTTATTCAGTGTCAGAGGCATTCTCTGACATCTTCCAATAACTGAAATACCTCACGTAGGTGACTTTTGTCACTCGTTCTGGAACTGGGGATTGTTTTCTTTCCAGGAGTTTTATAACCTTAGCAGGGATGCTTTGTGAATAGTCAAGAGAGTGCAGAACTTAGGAGCCACAAAAATCCTGGCTAACTTTACAACTATGAGACCTTAATTGAGACGTTTAAACTTTGTGAGTATTCATTCCCTTATCTGTAAAAAATGGCATTAATAACAGGCCCCTTTCAATACGTGAGAATTAGAGAACGTTGATATAAAGCACTCAGTGAAGGCCTGTGCCTATGCTACAATACCAATAAATTCATCACAGGTATTATAGTAACAAATGCGCGTGGGTGACCGATGGAAGGTCTGGATTGCACTTCTTGTTTAGAACCTCCTGAATAAACCCATTCCTTCCCCACGACTTCCAGCCGCAGCCAGGAACTGATGGTCCTGGTTGGGAGCTGGTGCTCCTAGGCAAAGACACTGCTCACTGTGTGCAGTGAGCTAGCAGCCCCCCAGGGCCAGCGCGCATTTGGTGAGGTGGCTGGTGGTGCGATGTTTCCATTTTGTCCTTTTCTGCTTGGAAAATAGGTGGTAGGAAGCCGAATGGCTGTAACCGGCTGCCCTTGGCACCTCGGCCCAATGGCCTGGTATCATGGGACTGTGCCCAGCTTGCCTTGTGGAAAACATCCAGTCCTCCCGGGCCACGAGTAGCAGATGGTGCTGGAGAGTGTTCATCTGCTGACCGTAGAGCCGACGGGAAATGCTCCGAACTCTGTGTATTCACCTGCACGAAGGAAGGCTTTTTAAAGGGCTTCCCAAGATGGAAACTACTGCTTCCGTAGGCTTTAAAAACGGAACAAAATAAGCGGTAGCAATGCCAAAACAAAACCAAAAAGAAGCAGAAAAACAAACCAGAAGTCACCTAGGGAAGGAGACTGGTTTTCTCTGCTTGCCGTTTTCTGCCGGATCCTTTAATGAGTCTTTCATTTTAGTTGCATCTCAAAACAGTGACACATTTTCCCTAATACAGTTCTTATTTTCTGCCAAGCCCAAGTATCACTAGACTGGTTTAGAGTACTGTTTCTAGCCAGACCATGGGAAAGGGTGCTAGTATAATAGCCATGATGGCAGACTTGCCTGTGTGTCTTTGCCTGCAGCTCCACAGCTCGGTACTGCAGCAAAATTATTTTCTTTGTTGGCCGAATGAGTACCAAGACACCAAAGCACAGCTCTTCCTCTCATGTGAGGAGTTCATCAAGTTAGTTGTAAATCTCTACCTTTGGGTAACGTACGTGAGAGACGGAAAAGAGATGGCTGTTGATGTTTGGCAGTAAAATGGAGCTACTGCTCTATGTTAAGATGGAGACTGTCAGCCAGTTTTGAGAAGAGACAAAGCGTGTTCAATTCGGCATCACCGGGAAGGTCACAAGACTTTTTAGAAGTTGTTTTCTAAACTCATGAATGGCTCTCTCTGGGCCTTCCTGACCTATTATTACGAAGTCAGATGGGAACTTTTGGAAATGGTCCAGGGAGGAGGTTTGCTTGGATGTGGAAGTGGAGATGCATGCAGGTGGGGATGCTTGGGACCATGGGGACTGAAGCAGAACATGTCGAGGGTAGGAAGATGCATTCATGCCTTGTCAACCTGAGGGCTCCTTTTGGACTCTATTTTTAAAAACATTTCACCGACCTGCAAATTGTCATGGGATATGTAGACATAACCTATCAGGCCAAGGCCAAGTCTCCTTTTTATCAAAGAAGGCAGTGCTATACTCTAGTTTGACGTAATAGGACTCCTTTGTTGAAAGTGCATGAAATGATAAAAGAACTCCATCATGTGTTATGTTGTTATTCTTTGCAATGCAGTGGGTATGAATTGATGGGCAGCTCTTTTAATTTGCTGTTAAAATGTGTTTTTCAGACGACATTGACAACCACACAGAGGGAGCTGAGCCAGCTACAAGAGCTTAGCAACCACCAGAAGAAGAGGGCTACGGAGATCCTGAATTTGCTGTTGAAGGACCTGGGGGAGATAGGCGGAATTATCGGCACCAATGATGTGAAGACTGTAAGCCAGCCCCTCTTTTATCTTGTCTACCTGCTCCTATAATGGTGGGGCCCTAAGCAAGCAGGGTCTGTGTTTTATTCTCCTAAGTATCCAATACTCAGCGTAGTGCTTTGCACCTGCCACATGCTTGGTAATACCGGAATGAACAAACCAAGGGCTGATTGAATGACTAAGTGAATGATTGGCTGGGTTCGGCAGAGGAGAAAAAATTACCTTTCACATACAGGAAACGTCTTCAAATGTTGGTGATCCTTATGCAGATGGGGTTATTTCTCTAATTTACATGCCAATGTCACAGGAGTTTGGAATTGGATAGGTTAAGCAATACTTCTAGTCTCAGAATTGTGTTTCTCTTTTTCTGTGAGAACCCAACAGAATGAAAATTCCTCAGCCAATCAGTTCGAATTAGGAAAGCTTTCAGGTGAAAGTAATAGGATTCTAACAGTGGCTTAAAAATAAATCCACATTTAATTATTCACAATATGAGAATTTTGTGTAGAATTTGCTATTCAGGTTGTGATCTGCATCACCTGGGAGTTTGTTGGAAGTATAGACTCTTGGGCCACTGCAGATCTATTGAAATTAGAATCTGCATTTTAACAAGATGGCCCAGGTCAGTCTAACCTTATTCAAGTTTCAGAAGCAAATTTTGATCCAGTGTCCCAACGATGTCAAGGATTCAGGCCTTTTCTTTATTTCCTTTCTGCTTTCATTAGCTTGTTACCTTTTCACATCTGTAGCCTTTTGTCTCATGATAGCAAGATAACTGCTGTAACACCAACCATCATATCTTCACACAAACACATCCAAAGCAGGATGGGCTGAAAAGGCAGCCAGTTCTCATCAGGAGGAAACTATATCCCATAAGTCCCTAGTAGATGTCCCCTTATACCTTATTAGCCAGAATTGGGTCACATGGTCACCCCAAATTGCAAGAGAAACTGGGAAAGCAAAGAGAAATAGTATTGCTGTCACTGGCTTCAGCCAATTGTGATTGATCCACTAGAGTTGTGCACATTGGTGCCACTGGTAGCAAGGAAGTAAGGGAGGCGGGAAGAATGGGGGTGGTATGAAATTGTCTGTGAGCTAGGAATAGAGGGACAAGAGAGTGTGTAGAATGTTATCAGCCAAGAACAATTATCAGTTACCTGCGGTAGGGAGACATAGAGAGCTAAGCTAGAGATATTTTTAAAAATAGCTTTGTAAGAGTATAGTCTGAGAAGTTTTGACATATTATACTCTCATTAAACCATTACCACAGTAAGATCATGAATGTATCCATCGCCCCCAACAGTGTATGGGACTGTTTCTGGTCTCTAGTCTATTGTATTGATCTAATTGTTATGCTAAAAACCACACTGTTTTGATTCCTGTAGCTTTGTAATCATAACACAGGACCCTTGTACAGAGTAGCCATCAGTACATGTGGCGGATTGTGGCAAGCCACGGAATGGTATTATATCTCTCAACTTCCACTTCCTGAGCTCCTCAAATCAAATTCTTTGAGGTCAGCTTTTTTTTTTTTTTTTTTTTTTTTTTGAGGTCAGCCTTTTAAAAGGCTGAGTTTTACATCCGTCTGCTTTGTGGGAACACTTAGGTTTTGAGCTGGGATTGTTAAGTACTAGAAAAGGCTCCCCCAGTTCTTTCTGTTTATAGACATTTCTGGGAAGCCTAGAAATCCCTTCTTAGATAATATCGCAGATCTAGTCTTAGAGTATACGACCTCCTATAAGCCTAATCATTCTTTCATAGAACCTCTATTGTAACTGAATATTTCATGAATCTTTGCGAATGAATCTAATTTTAGCACAGAATTCTTAGATACTATAAGATTAACCCATTCAGCCCCAGTTGGGTGGCTTTATGTTTGGGGATTTAATTTTTAGAAGCACGCGTTGGTACTGAGCTTCCGAGATTTGGGGGATTAAGTGGCCCATGCAATGTGAAGGTGGAGTTGATATAGGAGAAGTTGGTGCTGCTGCTGATAACGATAAAGGAAGATATTTTTATGCTACATTCTAAAATAGAGCTGATAAGAAATGCTAATGAAATCAAGGAGTGTCTGGGTGCTTCAGCATTAAAAAAGAGTCTTTACCTTTGGGAATCTGAAGTATGATTGAAATTATTTTTAAATACTTAGCTGGATGTTTTCAAGATATTTTTGGATTCCAGACATTGGATACCTTAGTTAATTTCATTGATAACTAGTTATTTTCATTGACAATTCTCACTCATAGAGCATCATATTCTTAATCATTTTGAGTGGTTTTTTTTCCCACAATTATGATTTAATCGTCAGGGCAATGAGAGCTAATGCGTAGGAGTTGTGTGACTGGGCAATTCACTATACTTCTCAGGCTTCATTTTCCTGATTTGTGCAATGACAAGATGAGCCCACATTATCTTACAGGTTGTCAGAAATTGCATGAGTTATACATATATTTCTTAGATCTACATTGTGGGCATAGAGTATTGGTTATGACTACTCAATAGATAGATATAATTCTTTTATCTAAGAAAATGATCAGATCAGGGAGACATTTGTCAGTGACCTTGTTTTTCTTCCTAAAACCCTATTCAGTTCCCACATGGTGACTCCTGGTCATACCCTGGGAAGAGGGGAAAAGATGCTCTCTTTCCAGAATATAACAGGCCCAGACAGCAGGGTAACAGAAGGACCCATATTTCTCCAGTTCTCTCATGTCTTGAAACATTTTCAGAGCCCAGGCAATACTTTGTTTAGTCTGCAAAACAAAATGCGACCACCCGATGATGAGATGAGCCTCGAGTTTACTTTCTCTGGGTTTATTAGTGAACTTCCTCTTCTTGTCTTTTTCCTATGTCACCCGGCTTTCTTTAAAACAAGTTTCCAGAAGTCTAGGATAGAAAGTTGAGGTATAGTAAATGAAATGGATTGGATAGCTGCCAGATTTTCTTTTGACTTTGGGTCTGGGTGAAGTACAGGTGAAGAATTTCGGGCAGTTGAGGGGCCCTGGGCCCCAGCAGCATTGGGGACATTTCTATAGCTTGGCCAGTGTGGCAGATACATTTCTGCAGATCCTGGGCCTGAAATCAGCCCTCATCACCAACAGCTCACATCCCATCAGCCTCTTCAATACAGTCTTGGTTGTGTTGGGGCTGGGGTCTCACTGACAAGAAGGCTTGCTTCTCCAATCCCCTCCTGCCTATCAAGCTCTTGGAAGCCACCATATCATGCCTGAGCTCTGTACTGCACAAACAAAATGGACATTTCTGAACATTTAAAAAAAAAAGAACAAAAAGAAAAAAAGCAACTTCTCATCCCATTCTGACTTTTAGGTATTGGAATGGCAACAGTCACCTTACTTACCTTTTACTTGGCCTAGAAATAGCACCTTGTGCAATCACTCCATGCTCCTGAGCCCTGGGGTGGGTGGGTATGGGGGTGACTCCTATGTAGACAGTGTGGGAGGGGCTGGCAGCATCGCCTTCCCACAGAAAGGCACCCTTTTCTCCTGGATTAGTCAGCTCTCCTGGATCACGCAGCTTAGTGTGTGCTGTTGGAGTCATTGTCAAACCCAGGGGAGAGTTATAAATAACATTTTAGCAACAAACTTGATTACCCTCTTGAAATAACAGTTTACTGGGATTACGGAAAATTTTGAGTTTACTTTGAATGACTGAATATATGAACTCCTAAGTGGTTGAGACAAAACAAAAACAAAATCAACAAAAACATGACTTTAAAGTAAAACCATTTGTTCGGAGTACCATTTTGTGTGTGGGGGGGTGTTTCATCAGATTCAAAATCTCCTCTAAGACTTCCTAGGACAAGGGTAGGCTCCAGAAGTTATGGTTCTGGTAGGGGAAAAAGCATCCAGCTTGCATTTTGGAGGAAGCCCATTATTGTGTGCTATTTTGCTCTTCCCCAATGCACATGGGATCTGGGCATGGAGTACAAAGTGTCCTTGTCTAAAGACAGAGCTGGAAGGGAGGAGGTGTTTGTTCCCTTCCCCAAATGCCCTACTTGTTGGTCTGGTGGTGTTTTCCCCAGGAGGTGGTGTAGGTTGTAAACCCCACATCAAAGAGATGGAAGTCACTTACCTTTCCACAGAGGCCGGGCAAACACATAGGACATACCTGGTGAGCCTAAAGAACAAGCTTCTCCTGTGTGTTCCACGTTGGGCCAATCACAAAGGCAGAGGAACAAAACTGCGCTAAAAGATTGGGGCGTATCTCACCCCATCTCTTCATGTCATTGGGTTGTAAGCAGGAATGCAATGAGAAACTGTTGGTAGGCAAATCGTTATTGGCAGTCAGAATTAGAAGTGGCTCATCAAGAACTTTCATTAAAATAGGACTGTGGGTTTTCTTGCTGTTAACATAGGTTCTGCTTTGTGTTGATTTGACACCGGTGTCATTTAACAGATCCTGTTGCGGAGTCCTAGGGGAAGGCTGACACAAAGTTACAGGCACCCGGTGTGGTCTGGTATACTTCCATCTGCTACCAATTTTCGGGGTTGATATACGATTCCATATTCCTAGCTCTTAAATTTTTACAGAAAAAAAAATCATTATATGATGAGTTAATGACAGCAATAATGACAAAAGTGGGCAGTTATAACGTACTGTGGAACATTAAAACCATATTTGGAATCATTGTCTTAGAACCAATTGAAGCTTTCTCTTTGTGGGCTGGGTACTGGACAGCGCTCTTGTGTTCTCCTGAGGGGCTAGGATGCCCTCTGGTGGTTAAAGAAAATATGTGCACGGTTATTTTGCTCCTCTGATTAATTGTCCTTCGGAGCATGTTTGCGTCTTGAGAGCAAACGGGTTTCTATCCCAAGTATCTTGCTTCAGGTTTTGTTTCCAGTTGAGCTCTGAAACTGAGATGCCAAATATGAGATCATACAGAAATGCTGGCTTTCAGAATCTTTCTTTCTAAAGGTGGATTTAGATTGTTAAACTCTCAGGTAATTTTATTTATTTATTTGAGAGAAAGCTGGGGGTTGGGGCAGAGTAAGAGGGAGAATGAGTCTCCAGGAGATTCTGCACTGAGCACAGAGCCCGATCCAGGGTTCCATCCCACAACCCTGAGTTCACGACTTGAGCCGAAACCAAGAGTCAACTGCTTTAACTGACTGAGCCACCCAGGCACCCCACTCAGATAATTTTAAATAATATAAGCTTGATTCTTATCTCCTTGGAAGGGGCAGGCACATAGAGACAGGGAAATATTGATTGATAGTAAACAAAAAGTCATAGGAAAATCTTCATCTAAAAGGGCATTTGGTAACAGCATGTTCTTAATTCAATTTTGTTGTTATTGTTGTTTAACTGAAGGCTATGTAGAAAACCCTTTTTATTTCAACCCTTGCTTATAGAAGCATATTCAAGACACTGAATTCATATTGAGGACTCTCTGAATAGGACACCATAGAGAACAGAATTGAATTTTTTTTTTTGTTAAGATTTTATTTATTTATTTGACAGACAGAGATCACAAGTAGTCAGAGAGGAGGAAGCAAGCCCCCTGCTGAGCAGAGAGCCCAATGCGGGGCTCAATCCCAGGACCCTGAGATCATGACCTGAGCCGAAGACAGATGCTTTTACCCACTGAGCCACCCAGGCACCCCAGAATTGAAATTTTGATTTGAATTCTTATAGGGACTCAGAGTCCCCTTTAAAAACACAAGGCCTTGCAGCTATTCTAGAAATGTAAGGCGTTGGACATTGAATGGAATACCTTTTCAGAGTTATCCTTTTTTTAATCTTCTTAAGATTAAAAAGAAGTGTATTTTCCTCTGATATCATGTCTTTCATCTTAAAAATTAATTGTAGTGAAAACCCTGGCTGATTGAGAACGATATTTAATAGAGGTTTTTAATTCAGTCTTACTTGAGGTTTCAGAAAACTTGGGATATATTTATGTAGAGAATATATAGTAACATAAAGCTATCATTTTCAGCTTGTGGTCCTATAATTAAAGATTCCTAATCAGAAATCCAAAGACATCTTGAGGATCCATGGACAGATTTTCGGGGCCCCATGAATCTCTGGCATTTGTAAGCAATAGTTGAGCGTATGCCTTCCTGTGCTCAGTTGGCAGACGTGAATGGAGTCATTGAGGAGGAATTCACCATGGCCCGCCTATATATCAGCAAGATGAAGTCGGAGGTCAAATCCCTGGTGAACCGCAGCAAACAGCTCGAGAATGCCCAGATGGACTCCAACAGGAAGATGAATGCCAGTGAGCGGGAGCTGGCTGCCTGCCAGCTGCTCATTTCCCAGGTAGGTCACCCCTTTCCCCCTCATTTCACTCCCTGGACCTCTTGAAATCTGCTGGCTCGGTGCTCTTACTGGGTCTGATGGTGCATGGTAGGGATAGCTGGTGGACTTTGCTTTATATAAGACTTGTCCATGGCCTCCCCAGACAATTACAGCCCAAGCTTCTGCTTAAGGCTAGACTTTGTTGTGTGAATTACATGAATTACCTTCAGTCCCTTTTAAAGGATGTGTCTACATCTCTCTGTATATGGACATGTAGGTAGGTAGGTAGAGATTATAATGAATGGATGAGATTGGGTGGAAGCTAAAACTCCTATGAGGTAAGGAACATTCCTTGATCTTTTAATCTCTACCACAGGTCCAACTTAATATGTGAAAACAGAAACTATTGCTGCTACTGCTATTATTAATAATAGTAATAGGTAACTTTTTTTTTTTAAGATTTTATTTATTTATTTGACAGAGATCACAGGTAGGCAGAGAGGCAGGCAGAGAGAGGGAGAAGCAGGCTCCCCGCCGAGCAGAGAGCCCGACGCAGGGCCTGATCTCAGGACCCTGGGATCATGACCCGAGCCGAAGGCAGAGACTTTAACCCACTGAGCCACCCAGGTGCCCCAGTAATAGGTAACATTTTTAAAAAAGATTTTATTTATTTGAGAGAAAGAGCAAGCAAGTGCATGCCCACACAGGTGGGGGAGGGGAAGCGGATGACGGACAGGCAGACTCCCCAGTGAGCGGGGAGCCCGATGCGGGGCTTGATCCCGGGACCCCAAGATCATGACCTGAGCCAAAGGCAGATGCTTAATCAACTGAGCCATCCAGGGGCCCCACTAGTAGCACGTAACATTTTAGTGAGTGTTTACAAAGCTCCCCACACTGCACTAAGCTCTTCACATGCATCATCTCACTTGATCTTTATTTTTTTTATTTTTTTTTTTAAAGATTTTATTTATTTATTTGACAGAGATCACAAGTAGGCAGAGAGGCAGGCAGAGAGAGGAGGAAGCAGGCTCCTTGCTGAGCAGAGAGCCCGATGTGGGGCGCAATCCCAGGACTCTGGGATCATGACCTGAGCCGAAAGCAGAGGCTTTAACCCACTGAGCCACCCAGGTGCCCCTCACTTGATCTTTAAAAAAAAGTCCTGATGGGCAGGTTTTATTATTATTCCTGTTTTTCAGATGAGGAAGGAGAGACTCAGAAAGATTAAATACACAGTTCAAAATCCCACAGCCAGCAAAAGGCAGATCAAGGGTCTCAAACCAAAGCATGTGTGAACACACAGCCGTGAAGGGATTTTTGAGTCCCAGGGCACATTTCGTCTGCTCAGTGAGTCAGGCCACTCTTCTGCCCACTGAAATGGCGTTTTCATTTTAGTGAGGTGGTTTCAGAAAGCAGCAGCCTCGTTTCTGGTCCGCCACTGGTATCTGAGCTTGCTGTTTGGGGCTTGAGACTTCTGGGAGTGTTGCAGTGAGGGCTGCTCACTGCCTCAGACCAGGCATTAAAACAGCTGAAATCATTTGCAGGAAACTAATACTAGCAGGTAGTGGTGTGTCAGATAATACCGAGAGACCGACAAAAGCGTACGTCCTTCTGGTAGGCTTGTAAACAGTAACATGTCATCACAGAACCAGCTCCAGCCTTTTCCCCTCCCACTGTAGTAATCTGAGAGATGCAAATGAGCACATCAGGTTTCCATTTTATAACCAGTGCAGTAAGCAAAAATGTACTGTAAAAGATTATCCAGTGTTGGTGTGTGATCGTGAAATTTATATACATTGCTGAGAAAAGTATAATTCGGCCAGTCCTTTTGGAAAGCACTTTGGGAATCAAAAGCCATAAAAATTGAAGTATTTTGGTCCAGTAATTTCATTTATGATATTTTTCATTGTTAATGAAAATGCAAAAATTTTATTTTATATGTTTATTTCCCGATTAAAATGTGCAAAGCCTATATGGAAGATGGTGAGTGCAATATTACTTATGTTATAATAACATGAAATACCCAAACGTCTGTTGATAAGATAATGACGTTAAGTTATATGAAAGATTGCTATGCAGCTCTTACAAAAATTTATAAAACATTGCCATTTGGAAAGCATGATTATATAAACGTAAGTGAAAATGAAAGTGCTCAGTTATGTGTATGCCGTGCTTTGCAACTCTATCCAGTATGCATTCATAGAGTTAAGACCAAGAATAGTTGATAAGTATGGTTTATGGGTGGGGGCACCAGGGTGGTTTGTCGGGTAAATGTCAGACTCTTGATTTTGACTCCGGCCATGATATCAGGGTTGTGGGATGGAGGCCCGCATCAGCTCTGTGCTCAGCACAGAGTCTGCTTGTCCCTCTCCCTCTGCTCCCGCCACCCCCCCCCACCCCGTCCCCAACAAAATCTTAAAAAAAAAAAACAAAAAACACCAAAACTGCTACATGGGTAAAATCTATGCCACTTCTTTCTGGATTTGCTTTACTACTTGACATTTTTATAATTAAAAAAAGGGGAGAAAATGATAAACCTTAGGGCAGAGTACCGACACCTCAAGCCTGATATCCAGGTCACCTCTTGTATTGAGAATATGTGCATTTGGATAGTCCTGCCCCTAACGTTTGGAGACCAAGGCAAGAGTAGAAACAGAGGTCCCTCCGTCTGCAGCCCACTGTCTTCTCTTTCCATCTGGATGCACCAGCCCTTCTGCCTTTTGTGGAAACTGATAGCACTGTGTAACTGTCAACTCTAATCTGTGTGAATTGATGACAGGAGCTGTAGTGCCAGCCCTAGGAGTGGCCTGTATGGCCACTGGAGCAGGGAGTTCCTGGGTTTCTCGTCCTCAGAGTGTGGTCTGGAAGGGGGCATGGGTTCCATGGGGGCATGCCTCCTTGGCCCACACGCTCTTTGCTCCGTGGAGTGAGTGCAGCTAGAAGACAGCCCTAGTGGGGTGTTCACAGTGTGGGGCCCAGGACCGAGGCTCTAGTTGCCCAAGTCTGACAGTGACATTGACTTTGGGTATATGAGATCAGAGTCAAGAATATCAGCATATTAGAATGTTAAAGGATGAATGTTAGTGCGTTCTCCATTAGCAACAAATACAGCTTTCTGTTGGGTGCTACTTTGTACTGTTACAATTTACACAGAGACAAATATTTAATCATTATTTCTGGGGATTCAAAAGTCAGAGAAACTTTGGCTCTTTACTTTCTGACATGATCTAAAGAATCTGACAAAATATTTCGAGCAAAAATGCAATTATTTTCTTCATTTACGCTCATCCTTTTCATCAGAAGCTGTGCTTATAACCTGACTGCTCTGTGTCCCATTTCCCAGAGGTTGTTTCACTAGACGAGAGCTCAGTCTCCAGGGTCTTCTTGCTTTCATGTGAACGCTGTAGATCTTGAGTGGGGGAAGTGCCTACATATATCCATCTGCTGGAAGGGCGCCCTGTCTTTACTTCAGTCAATGAGCTTCCATTCATTCACTGGTTCCACTAATATTTATTAAGCATCGGCTCCATACCCTCATGGAGCTGGCAAGTAAAAAGAAATAGATAAATCTTGCCGAAGTTGGGTACTGTAAGAAACTGTGAGGACCCCAGTGATAAGGACTCTGGGTGGGGAGGGTGGAGCACATCCTAGGGTGAGGAAAATGTAAAATGCAAGGTCTCTCAGACATAGGAATTGGTGTGTTTGAGAGGAAAAGAAAAGACCATATTTGAGTTCTGAAGACAGAACCTAGAGGTGCCAGTTCCAAGAACGAAGCCTCTGCCCTAGACATTTTCCCAGGACACTGTTTTCTATGAGGAGAAAAACCAGCTTGGGCTTTGGCATCTCACTTAGGCGGATGGTGGGGAGGGCTGTGGTGATGACAGGGGTCAGTGTGGAATGAAGCAGCGGAGCACAGGGAGGAAACAGAGGGCCATGTTACCCCTCGATCACAGATCTCAAGCCTAGGGAAGAATATGCTTTGTTTGGGAGTTGGTCCTCGAAAAACGGACCCAGGAAGTCCTCTGGGGCCTTTTCCCATCAGACAACTGTAGGCAAGCCAGGTTGCTTGTCCCTCATGCCTCCTTTTCATCTTTTTGTTTATTTAAAGCACGAAGCCAAGATAAAATCCCTGACAGACTACATGCAGAACATGGAACAGAAGAGGAGGCAGCTGGAGGAGTCCCAGGACTCGCTCAGTGAGGAGCTGGCCAAGCTCCGAGCCCAAGGTAAGTAATTGACTCCTTTGCAGGTGTTGAGCTCTTGGCCTACATCAGATACTTTCTAGTTGGCCAAACTCACGACGTTTGGTTTTGCTCATTTATAGCATTTCCAGGTCTCTTGAAAAACAATGGAATAATTGAGGGAAGGGGGTGTGGTAAAAAAAAAAAAAATTAGATAGAATATTGCCCCCGCCCGGTATCTGCCCCTCTTCCCATTTCCCTCCATCCACCCTGCTGCCTGAGTCAATCTTCTCTCCTCCACCTCTGGCCTCCAGTCTGTTCCCATGACCTGTCCATTTGATCTGCCAGATGCTTGTCTGCTTCTGCTCATCTCCACCTTTATTTTCACTATCCTTAATCTTAATTAAGAGTTGTGACTACATCGTCTACAGAGGCTCTCAGCCCATCTGCTCCAGGCCAGCCACTGTGCTGCTTCTCAGGGAGCTCTTCTAAAAGCACCTTCTATCTTGTGCCCAGCCCCATGCCTCTGACCCTTCCATGATGTCCCCCTGCTCTTAATATAAAGTCTGAACTTCTGCCAATGGCTGCCTGCACCCTCCGTCCTTGGAACCAGCTCTTCCCTTTGCCGGACAGCCTCCTGATGCCCTTTGCTTAGGGAAGTGCCTGACACATAGGAAGCACTCCAAAAATATGAATAAATAGAAAAAATTCAAGAGAGGTAACTAGAAATGCAGAAACTGGAATAGGTTTTAAGAACATATGCATTGCCGTGAAATGGGACACATGTACCATGAATTGCAGTGAAAATTGTTAGAGTTCTTTTAAAAAGCATTTTGAGGATAGGGGCGCCTGGGTGGCTCAGTGGGTTGAAGCCTCTACCTTTGGCTCAGGTCATGATCCCAGGGTCCTGGGATCGAGCCTCGCATCGGGCTTTCCGCTCAGCAGGGAGCCTGCTTCCCTTCCTCTCTCTGCCTGTTTGGGATCTCTGTCTGTCAAATATATAAAATCTTTTCTAAAAAAAAACTTTTTGAGGATAAATAGCAATTATCATAACACTTTCCATACCTTTTGATCCTCAAATCTCAGATATTCGTTGTAGAATTCATTGTATTAGCAGAAGGAAGAAAAGGCAGCCAACCTAAATGTCAAACAGTTAAGCCAGCTATGGGATGTTGTTTAAAAGAACATGTGTTATTTTGGAGGTGAAGTAAGTGCAGGCTGTGCAGCCATGCTTACCAGGCGTCCTTAGATTAAAGATCGTAATATGTAATCTTTACTGGGTTATAACATCCAGGAATCAATGGATAGTTGTGTTCGAAGGCCTGCAGATTAATAATTGAAATGAAAATTGTTTTGATAGGGTAGTAGGATTGGTGATGATGCCACCTCTTTTTATTTCCTTTATTGTTAATATAGTTACTTGCTCAGTAAATACATTTTGTTCCAAATGTCTAGGCAAATTTAGAAAGATGGAGAACACCCTCAGCCCCGCTATGACCTCGTCATGTTTTCTTTATGTGATAATGGATGAATGTTAGAGATAGCACGCTCCCCGTAATACTTGGCATTGAAAAGAACTTTTCTCTCTCTGGTAAATGGCTTCTGTAGTGGTGCCCTAAGTAGAAATAAAATAGAGGTGAGAAGATCTAAAATAAAGTGGAACAGACTAGATAGAAAGCGTAATGACTTGCATGACACTGTTCTAAACCATTTTGCTACCCGCGGCCCCGCTTCCGTCCCCGAGCCTGCTGCTTGCTGGGGGTGCCGGGTGCGTGCCCCTGACCAAGAATAGGCTGGGACAGACTCCCGCTGGAGGTGTGCCGTGCACCAAATGTGGGGCCTTCCGTTTTAATATGGAGCCTGTTATTTTTTGTTTTCTTCGTTCTTAGATTTTTTTGTTCTTCTGCGCTAGATTCTTAGAGAATAAACCGTGTACTGATGAGAGGTAAATTAGCTCTTTCTGGAACTCTAATAGTGGCATTGCATCCAAACGCCTCTAAACTTCAGAGTGCCTTCCAATGTGCAAAGCAGGCTGTTGTATCCTGCTGCAGGGGTTGCTCACCAAGGCCAGGGGAGAGGTCAGACACAGCCTAGTCCGTTCCCTCCTAGAGCGGCCCACTTCCGAGTCCGCACCCTGGCCTGATGTGGACCCACTGGAGTGGGCAGCCTCCACCGGCCGGAAGTCTCGCCTGGGAAGCCTGATCTTAGATAGCGTGGTTGTAATTGGTCATATGAGTTCTGTTTCACTCCATGGCCATTCTTCCTTTTTTTTTTTTTTTTTTGTCTTTTGTCTTTTTAAAAATATGTTTACTTTTGGATGTGAGTCCCGCCAGTTAAATCTTCAATCATCATTTAAAATTCAAAACAGAAAAAATGCACGAAGTCAGCTTCCAGGATAAGGAGAAGGAACATCTGACGCGGCTGCAGGACGCAGAGGAGATGAAGGTGTGTGCGCAGCCCCTGCCCTGGAGCCCAGCGTGCATATGGACTGCGTTTTCTTACTCTAGGAAAATATGTCTCCTTCAGAGACTTGTGTGGCCATGTAGGAGGGAGGGGGGAGGGACCAGTGCCGGCCGTGGCACAGTGCGGCCTGGCGCAGGACCGAGAGGAAGGCGGAGGTGTCCAGAAGTCCGCTAGTCATGCTGCGTTAGTCTGTGCCGCTTCCCTGTTCCTGGGGAAGGGGAGGCAGCAGCCCCTCCCCGGTCACTGCGTGGGCCGCACTGCTGTGCTGAACTGCCAGAACATGTCTTCCCTTGACCTTTTTAAAGAAGCACTCCAGATTTGGATTGCTGTGTACCATAGAGATGTTTATTTTTGGTCACATGTAAAGTGGTGAAGGAAAATGTAGGCAAAATAATTGGGAAAGAAGCTTTGTGGGTGAATAAAATGAGATAGGAGAGGATGTAGGATTTTGATTCATTTAGGCAAACTGCTTGTAAATATGCAGGGTGCCTGGATGGCTCAGTCGTTAAGCGTCTGCCTTTGGCTCAGGTCATGATCCCAGGGTCCTGGGATCGAGCCCCGCACTGGGTTCTCTGCTTGGTGGGAAGCCTGCTACTCCCCCCCACTTCCCTGCTTGTGTTCCCTCTCTCACTGTGTCTCTATCAAATAAATAAATAAAATCTTTAAAAAACAAAACCAAAAAAGCAGTGCCCATGGCATGAGCCTCTCCAGGCTCACCCTAATGGGCCCTCCTCCACGTTTCACGTCCCTTTGGTGAAGAGGTCTCCTACAAACATCACCATAAATCTGGGCAGTGCTCAGGGCAGGGACAATTCTCTAAATTTTATAGGGGAGGAAGTGTGGCTCACGTGGGTTAGGTGGTTTGTCTCCGGTCACCTGGGTGTATATTTAGTAAGATGTCTGTGCCCTCTGGCTGACCTGGTGAGAGAAGCCATGTGGCTCATGTGAGCTGTAGGGGGCCACGGGAGAGATTTTTATTCAATTAATGGACTCATTTGCTCCTAGGATAAGAGCCCTGCTGGGTTTTATCATAGATCTTTGGGTTTTGTTGTGCCAGTAAAGCAAGGCAGGTTCTGGGGGCCCCAGTGTTGGGACCTGACAGCTGAGGGATATAAAGTAGGAGGCAGAAGCAATCCAGGGCTTGTCATGGCGTGGGCTGCGAGCCAACAAGGATGACACATTTCTCTTGGCCTGGCTTGCAGAAGGCGCTGGAGCAGCAGATGGAGAGCCACCGGGAAGCTCACCAGAAGCAGCTGTCCAGACTTCGGGATGAAATTGAGGAGAAGCAGAAAATCATCGATGAGATTCGGGAGTGAGTCGGCCCAGGAGCTCTTGGGACACTGGGGTGGGCATGGCTCTTGGGCCAGCCTGGAAGGACGTGGCTTTGAGCCCAGTTCTGCCCTCCTTGGCCTACAGGCTCTGCCCTGTGCCGCGGCAGGCTGGATGCGCAGCTTCCGACTTCTGTTCTCCCATCTGGAGCTGAGCCTCTGGGGGCTCTGGTGGGGCAGGTGGCAGGCGGGCACAGCCACCCTTCCTCATCCCCCGGGAGTCGGGGTCATGTTGGTGACTCAGCTGGGCAGACACATGCCCTCCTAGGTGGTGACATTGTTTGTATGAAATTATATACGAAAATATACAATGAATCCCCCTGCATTGGTCCTGACTCGGGTTCTGATAGGCTAAAACATACTCCAAAGGAGACAGTCAGCCCCTGCTGCCTCCTCACCCAACACGTAAATGCTCCCCGCACAGCCCTGAGCCACCTGGTCACATGCGCACACTTCTCGGGGACCCGTGTCTGTGCTCGTGGACCTGTGGCTTTGCCAGGATGGTGTCACTGCAGCTCGTCTCTGCTGTCACTCCCCTCAGGGCCATACTCCCCGTCACGGCACCTCAAGAACCCCTGCTCCATAATGACCTCCCCCTCCTCTTCTCTTACCTTCCCGCCTCGCTGTCAAAACAAGGCAGCAAGCTGGAGAGTGCCTTCGCGATCCTCTCCTTGAGGGTTCTTATTTTTTGCACAGCGAGTGCCTTGGCAGTGTTTGACCCTGTTTGCAGAATAATGTTTTTAAATGCCCCCAAATAGAAGACGAGGGAAAACGAAGAAAACCAGTTATGTTGAAATACAGTCCAATCCACTGACACCCCCACCCTCATTCCCAAGATCTAGACCGAAGCCTCCCTCCACCCCCACGTTCTGTAGACGGAGAACTGCATTTCTGTATGGGGAGCAAGCAGTTTCCGTGAGCTTCTTAGGGTTGCGCTGCTAACTAGGAATCAAACTGGAGTTAGAGTTTAATTCTCCAGGCTACTGATCCCAATCTCTCTTCACTGTGTGCAAGCTGCTCCCACAGCACATTTGCATTTTGAGAGAGGAGAATGGTAATGAAGCAAAGTGTAAGTGGTGTGATCTGGACTCCATGCACACTGTCTACCTAAGGCAAGTCCTTAGCATCGTCTTTGCCCTCCTCCTTTTGGACCACCCCCGTGCTGTTACTCATGTTGTTCTTTCCCCTTCAAGCGTGTCCTGTGTTCTTTATTCTGATTAATCACCCTTGACATGTTCAGCCAGAGGGGAACGAGGGGAGGGAAGGAATGAGGGAAGGAGGGCAGGTTGGTGAATGAGTTAGTTGACGAGAAGTTTCCTTGGCCTGCGCCTTTCAAACGACTCTGGGTTTTCCTTCAGATGTGTAGAATCTGTTCCTTTACGGATGCACAGGCATGGCCACACAAAAGGTTTTATAAATACTGCATGCAAGTGTTGGCCAAGGGCCCCCAACCAGATGGCAAGTTTCTTTTTTTGCCGCAGACCCTGGGCTTTCTTTGTATTTCCTCTTTTTGTACCCTCTCCTTGCAGACTTCACACAGCGGCACTGTCCCTGTGTCGGCCAGGAATTTGGACTTAGGGGATGTTTTCAGGTGATTGGACCAGAGAGGAAGGGAAGGGTGCAATGGCCAGATAAGGTTTCCTGAGTGGGTGCATGCATGCCGTCTGTAGGGCAGACAAAGCAGAATTCTTCTCACTGTGCTCTCTTTCTCTGTTTTAAAATATCAGCCCTTTTCCTAGCTCATTATTTTCCCCCCAAAGCTCTTGCACAAGCCAACTATAAATATATTCTCAAAGCCTTATGTTTCATGCCTCTGAGATGTTCCCAGAAATTAGTTTTCACTTGGGCAGGGAGGAAGCTGTGAGGTTGTTCTCTGATCGCTCAAAATCCTCCAGAATTGCCGCCTTTATTGCACAGAACTAATGGGGTTGGAACAGAACCATGTCTTTAGCTGGGTGCCTCAGAATTTCAGGTTCATGTGCAATGTATTGCTTTTCCCCCTCCATTTCAGTTTGAATCAGAAACTGCAACTGGAACAGGAGAAGCTCAGTTCTGATTATAACAAGCTGAAAGTGGAGGACCAAGAAAGGGAAATGAAACTGGAAAAGCTCTTGTGAGTGCACGTTAAATATTTCCTCTGTTTTCTCTCCTCCCGCTGAGTCTTAGGGAAGTCTACTCTTGTGACTCCGATTCCTCAGTATTCTGGTTAGGTTGGGCCTATGTAACAATAGTGCCCACTCATGTGAGGTGGTTGGTACTGTTGACATATCCATAGGTGCAGGTGGTATCTGGAACTCTCTGATGCCCTTTGGGTTCATGATTCCTTTTTGTTTTTTAGATTGCTCAATGATAAACGGGAACAAGCCAGAGAGGACCTCAAAGGGCTGGAGGAGACGGTGGTACGTCAGCATGTTTCCCAACTCGTTTCAGTCCCAAAGACCCAATTAATTTGTGATTTGTTGAATTTGTGTATTCTGAAACTTGTTCTGTGCCCATCGTTCTCACATACCATTTTAGACAAAATATTTAGGTAAATACCGTATATTTAGACATTAAGACAAATACAGACATTTAGATAAAATGTCTTGTGGAAAAGTGAGGATTGTAGAATTTATTCCCCAGCTCTGGATACCATGATTGTCTGTCCATCCATCCATCTATCCATCCATCCATCCATCCTTCCATCCTTGCCTCCATGCTTAGTGCTGGAACTAGAGGCCCTGAGCGAGAATTAAACTGACCTGAAAATCAGTGCCTGAATCTTTACTGACTTTGCACATTGTGACTTTTTTCCATTCAACATGCAAGAGCACCTACTAAGGGCTGGTGTTCTTCTAGGTGCTTGCGTTGTATCAGTAAATCACAAAGATAAGATCCTGGCCCTTTTAAGCATGCCTTCAGCTGTGGGTGGGGAGAGAGATGTGAACATTAGGAAGGAAATCATGACCTCCATTACATGGTTATAGAAAGTGCAAAGGTCCCACAAGGTGGTGACATTTGAGCAGGGACTTGAAGCAGGTGAAAGACTAAGCCATGGGAATGTCGGGGGAGGGGCCTTCCAAGCAGAGGCAATAGCTTATGCCAAGGCCCTGAGGTGAGCCTGGAGTTGGCATGTTGGAGAACAGCAGGAAAGTCAATGATGCAGCGAGGAGACAAGAGGTAGGCACAGAAGGGTCAAGGCAAGAGCAATTGTAGCCCAGGTAGGGCCTTGAGGCCTGCAGGTTTTGGGGTACAAGAGTGACAGATCAGAAAGTCTCATCATTTGAGATCCTGGTTGGTTTTCTCCATCTGAATTCATGAGGTTTGTCTGCTCTGGTTGACTTCCGTTTCAGCTGCTCTGAGGGTGAGGGCTCTTGAGAGCTCTGCAAAGTGCCACACAGCCTGTGTTTAAAGACAGACTGTCCCAACAGAGCCTCTTAATTTGGTGAAAGCATGTCAGGTCACTTCATATGATAAAACAATAGAGAGACTGTTGTTGGGATGTAGTCATACATTTTATTTTTAAAGATTTATTTATTTATTTGAGAGAGAATGAAAGCACGCGTACACAAGTAGGGGTAGGGGCAGAGGGAGAGAGAATCCTCAAGCAGACTCAGTGCCAAGTGCGGAGCCCCACCTGGGGTTCAATTTCAGAGTCCCGAGATCATGACCTGAGCTGAATTCAAGAGCCAGCTGCTTAACCGACTGAGCCACTTAGGCGGCCCTGATACAGTCATATATTTTGATTCCATTTGTGTCGTGTGAATTTATGTGGGGCTGCCTCCCAAGAACCTGGTGACCCCAGGCTATAGGCAAATTGTTACTCAGGGCTGGACCTGATTGTGCACTCTGTTCCTGGGCTGTTGTTAGTTGTCTCTCAAAGCCAGGTGAAGGGACAGAGGGCACCATCCACTCAGAACAGAAGTAAGATGACTGTGGCTCAAAGTGTTTTGGGCCATTCCAACATGGCAGAGAAGATGGTGGATGGCTGGCTGGCTCTCGGGGAAACCAGATGAAGCCCTAACGTTGCCTCATCTATGTCTGTTTTACCAGAGAAGTGATACCCACAGTTACAGATGATTCTAAAAATTCAGAAAAATATTGAAATTTAAAATGTTACTGTATCCCACTAGCCAGAGGTAAGTGACATTTCAGTACCTTCCACCCATGAACTACCCTCACCCAACATCCCTGGCCCTTCCCACCTGGTGCATACTCACCCATAGAGGACAGACCCACTGACACGCTGGCTCCCTTCCTCTCCTGCTCTCAGCTCACCACTGGCACACATCGCTCACATCCACATTTGAAACTCCAAATCCGATCCCCACAGCCTGTGTCATTTTAGACTTGGATGTTTTCACTCAACCTGCTTTTGGAATCCACCCCAAGCTGTAAATGTTCTTCAGCAACAGGCTCGCTGCCCTTGGCTGACCTTATTTGAACTCTCCATAGCTCAAGGCCTCTTCTGGCTTCTTGGGTATTTGGGTGGGACGGCGTGGGTGGGAGGGAGGGTGGAACCTGCCGTGCAGGGGTTGGAGTCTGAAGCCCACTGCAGGGGTTGACGTTGGAAGATGTTGAGGGTGTCTTGGGGCCCGAGGCAGCCATCTTGCTTTAACAGGACACTTGGGACTCTAGGGCTGGCCCTCTCCTGCTGTGTTAATGGGCCTTGTGTTTTCACCTCTCTGGGCTCGCCTTTGCTGTCCCCTCTGACAGGAAGCTGAGCCCGGGCATTTACACAGAGGGCAGTGGCCTGTGACAGGGAACATTTCAGGGAAGTGAGTCAGATGCGGTGAAGAAATGATGATATCGTGGAGGAAAATTCATTGCTGTGGGAAGCCAAATGCTAGCTACCTAAGCTTAAATGTGCAATTTGCAAATTGTTTTAAAGGTTTTTAACTACCCCTCCTGTACTGCTGAATTCACCTAAGAACAAACAAAAATGAGATAAAGATGCCAAACTCAGGACTCCATAGTATTTGGTATTTAGGCCCCGAGGAGATGCCTGGCCCTTTGACAAGGGACCCGTGTCTTATCTTCTCATTTCCCTTTGGTGTGGTGGCTTTTTTATGGAAAATGTTTACTATGGTTACAGTTGAATAAAATCCCTGAGAGAGAGAATTCAGAGCAGGGCTTAAGGTGGATGGGGGAGCGCTGAGATCCTTGGGCAGGGGCTGGAACAGCACGTCTGTGTAAATGTGAGCATGGAGCCGCACCTCTGCCCCTGCCCTGGAAGGCAGCTGGGCCTCGTACAGGTGTAATGTGCACTGTGTTCATAGTAGGCCTGTTTGGCTTCCTGCACAAAGTCATTTGCCTCACCTGAGGAAGCAATTGACTTTAGGTGCTTCTTATTTCAACACAGAATTGCAGACTTGGACCCAGTAACAAGACTTAAATTAACATAGAAGCTTAGTGTTTCCATGGCTGTAGAGCCTGTTTTTTTCCTTGTGAGCACGGGCGAGCTGCATCCCTTGACATTGTGTTAAGAGTAGGTCAACTAAGACAAATTGGGAAGTTCAGATGCAAGTTTATCTCTCCTCTCCCTCATGGGGAGGTATCTTGGAAGGAACTAATTGTATCTCCAGTAGTAAGAACATGGAGTCTTGAATGAGAGGAACTATTTTGGTTTTCTGATCTTATTAACAAAGGTCACCAGGTTCGATACAAAGCCTTGTCTTTGCAGTCTAATTCTTAAGGTTAAGGGTTTGGTTGTAGAAAATAACTCAAAATGAAGAAAAAAAAAATGCCCCTAAGAAGTTGATTACAGTGTAACAGTATTATGACAACAAAGGGAAACAACAAAACCTACCGAAGAAATGACTGTCAAATATGGTGCATCAATAAGTTAATACTAGCTAATGTTTACTGAGCACTTACAATGTGCCAGAAACTATTATAAGAGTTTTATAACGATTATCACATTTAATCTCAACGACTGTGAGGCGACTACTAAATTTATTCTCTTACAAATAAGAGAGCTGTGGCACAGGAAGGCAAGGTAGGTTGCCCAGGGTTACGTGGGTAGAAGGCCCACTACCTACCTCATCCATGAGCTAGAGTGACGTCAAGCCAGTGCACACGGCCCAGGGCCAGAAATGGGGCGTGGAGATACGAAAAATGTCAGTCTGCTACGATGGGAGAGATTGTGGGTAACTTTCCATTGAGACTTGCAGGCATTTTGTGCAATGCGTACGTGATAAATTAGAGGAAAAAAGAATCCATCCTGATATAACAGCCAACTAGGAATTTTTGTGAGAACTTTTGTAGTTTTTTTGTGAGAAATTTTTGGGTTAACTTTTGTAGTTGAGGGGAGAGGAAAAGTTCTATTTAGACCACCACTAACAAGTAGGCTCTGTTCCATTTTAGTTCATGGTTTGAGCTCCCAGTCTCTGCCCCTGGGGGTAGTCTTGAGACAGATGGAGGGGGTGGACATATGTGGTGGGAAAGTGTGGGAGCCCTGTGGCCTGGATGGCAGGCTCTCAGAGCAGGTGGGATCTGTCTGGGTCGTTGGGGCCACCAGACGGTCTGGCGCCATTGTGTCCTGAATTCAAGGTGTCTCCCCCACTTTAGTGACATTTTCACTATCTTCCCTTCCAGTCTCGGGAACTACAGACTCTGCATAACCTCCGGAAACTCTTTGTCCAGGATCTGACTGCCCGGGTTAAAAAGGTGAGTTCTATTTTCTGTGACCAGGACTGAGAAGAAAATATGGACAGAAAGAATCATTTTCCATTGAAATATCACTTTCTTAAATTGGGGCTGGTTGTGCTTAAAAATTAATTACTTCATGCCAGAAAATGTATTCAAAGAATATACTGGAGGCAAAAAAAAAAGAGAGAGAGAGAAAAGTACTTGGGAATATTTTTCCATCTAATTTTTTCTTCTTAGTAAAAGGAAGTTATAATCCTTTCCCTGGCCTTTCATTTCAAATGAGCACACACCTATCTAGCTGCAGTGTGAGAGCTGATGTGTGTGATGGCGGGAAAATCCAGGGGATCCTGTCAGGCAGTGCTGCTCTGACGCTTGGTGAGCAGTGCCAGAAACCTGGAGAAATCAGAGGCAGGAGCCTCCTATTTGCCTGTGGGGGGCCGTCAGGGGCTGGGTCAGAGTGCATGAAGAGCTTGAACCTGTGTCTCATTTGCTCTTCCTGGCAACCGTGTATGTGGTCCTTTACTGTTCGGTTCTATCTTAGTGGAGACAGGCTCAGAGGTTAAGTAACCTGCCCAAGGTCACACAGCTGGAAGAGCTGGAGACAGACTGGAATCCAGGGCGTGTGACTTCTGACTCTGGGCTTCGTGGATGCTCGTGCCTCCCACAGGGATCTTGGGGAGTCACCGTGTGGTGAATCCCAGAGCAGCGTGCAGAAGTTTCAGGAAGGAGGCAGAGGTGGGAACAGCAGGGGACTGCTCTTTTAAATATGTTTAAGTGTGATAGAGGAGGGGCAATGCGCCGTAGCCAGCGGTGTGGTAGGATGGAAGGAAGGTGTATTTAAAAGTACACACGTGTGTGCGCACGCACGTGTGTGTGAAGGAGCTGAGGGAAAGGGGTGAGACATATATAACAAAAGAGGAGGGGCTGATGGGGTCCGACCTGCATGGACGGAAGTAACAGCATGGTTGGGTATGTCAGGCTTGGCAAGGGGAGGGGATACAATTTCTCGGAGGGCAGTAGTGGAGAGTGGAGGTGGAGACATTCACAGGACAATATGTAATTGTGGAAAGGTGCATCCGACTACTTTGATCTTCTCGGTTAATGTGGAGGTTCTGTCCTTGATGGAGAGGGCAGGAAGACAATGGAGTGGCCCCACAGCCTAGAGAAGGCTCAGGCAGCCAGGGAGGGCGGGGGTGGGGGTGGGGGACATTTGTCAGGGATGAGTGAAAGCACTGCTGAGTGTCCAGCTGAAGGTCAGAGCATGGATTTGCCGTGACCCTGACAGAATGGTTCCAGGCCTGGAAACGAAAATAAAGGAAGGTGGAGAAGGATAGGTGAGGTTAAGGCCTGAATGGCAGCGGCAGGACAGGCAGGTAGTGAGCACAGTCATCAAAATAGAAATGACCACCCGACCTGGACCAGGTAGGAGGGAGAGGCAAGAGCAGAGGGGTTAGAGAGGGAGACTGCAGAGGTAATGGCAAGAACTGGAAATGCTCAGTCAGAGGGAGGGGGTCCAAGGGAGCTAAGATTGGGCTTCCCTGATTTCAGGATATAAAACTCTTGAGTAAGGACCTACTGGTAGACCAGTGGCTTTCAGAATGTGGTTATCTGGCCAGCAGCTTTGGCATCACTGGGGTGCTCACTAGACATGCACATTCTCAGGATCCCCCCCAGGTCCACTGAAGCAGAGACTGGGGGTGGAGCCCAGCAATCCGAGTTTTAACAAACCCTCCTTTGGGCAAAGTTTGAGAACCCCAGATGTAGGCAGAAGACACACGGGTTTGAGATCTGCATGCACCCGTCTCCTCTCAGGAGAAGGAGGGAAGGGCGCCTGGGTGTCTCAGTGGGTTAAGCCTCTGCCTTCGGCTCAGGTCATGATCTCAGTGTCCTGGGATCGAGTCCCGCATCGGGCTCTCTGCTTGGCAGGGAGCCTGCTTCCTCCTCTCTCTCTGCTTGCCTTTCTGTCTACTTGTGATCTCTGTCTGTCAAATAAATAAATAAAATCTTTTAAAAATTAAAAAAAAAAAAAAAGAAGGAGGGAAGATGATCTTCTCTGTAATCAGATGCAGCACATTCTGAGCTCTAGGATATTTGCACATGTGTTTTCTCAGTTGACCTCCTGGTCCAGAAGGGCACTTTTTGTCCATCTCAAGATCTAATGAATTTCAAGAGTTTATCCACCAGCAGCACTCAGAAGCTGTGACTAATTGAGATGGATTCATGAATTAATTTCATGGGATTGGAAGCTGAAGGGACAAGCAATGGCCACTGAGACTTCCCGGTAGGACCATAGGCACTTGCCCAACAGCTTGGTGACTTAGCTTAGTTGGGATGTTTGAAATCAGGCTTAGATCTTGGGTTTATGTTTTCACGCTGGTTCTTCTTGAGTTTTGGAACAGTTCCTTTTGAAAAGGAAAGTCTATTTACCCACCTGCAAGGGAGAGGTGAATTTCACAGAGAGAACTAATCTGTATCTTTCAAAGGAAGATTGGGAGTTTCATTTTGTTTTGTTTTGTTTTGTTTTGTTTTCAATTCTCTATAATGCTCAGAAAACCCCTGACATCAACCAAAGGAATTCATGGCAAGGTCACTAAGTCTCAACTATTAGAACCTCTCTTTATTTCCACTTTCAGAATAACCATTTGTGGGATTGGGGGTAGTGGTTTTTTATAAAGAAGAACTAGAATGTGGTCCAGTTTATACTGGGGCTGGGGCTGGGGGGAGCCTGCAGGCCGACTGACCCCTTGTGTTGTTGCAGAGCGTGGAGCTGGACAGCGATGACGGAGGCGGCAGTGCTGCCCAGAAGCAAAAAATTTCCTTCCTGGAGAATAACCTGGAGCAGCTCACGAAGGTTCACAAACAGGTAGGAGAGTTGTGCCAGCTTCCTGTGTTTCCCTTACTGTCCTGGGAAGAAACCCCACCCACTTTATCTAGCCACAGTGCCAGGAGAAGGCTCTGCATCACCAGGGGTGCCAGACGGGTCCTCGGAGTCCTTTCATTAGTCTTTAGTGACTTCCCTTACATATAAAAGTCTTTTATCTAAGCCAGGTGGAAGGAATGGAGTTTGAGCTCCAGGTTTTGGGAAGTGGGGTGTTCAGAACCCTGCCTTATCATCCTGCCTCCAGTCCCAGCACTGGACCCACAGGCTGCACAGAAGGCAAGAATTCCACCGAGCCCGTTCAGGCCCCTTGTTTTTGCAGCTGAAGAAACAGGCCGAGAGAGGAAGTGATCTGCTTTATTTTCTCTCTGCTCTGTTGCCCTATTTCCTGGGCACCCTCTTCGGTTCTTATGAGGCTCTGGAGTTTATCGAGAGGGACAGCAAAGTGCATGGCCAAATCTACTGGCAGTCGATGCAGTTGTTTGTCTCCTTTCTGTATAAATACTGGAATGCTCATGTTTCCCCTAAATCCTAAAGATTTGGAATGTGATAAAAATGGTCCCACTTGTTGGACTGCATGGCTAAGGGGATGCTCTCTCTTGGGCCTACGTCCTTCAGCATTACCTAGGATGGCATTTTTCCTCAAAGGGAGGATGACAGATTCAATATGGTTGAAGTCATTCAAGCAAATTATTGTAGTCTGTAGTCTGAGTCACTAATGTGAAATAGGGCTCTGAAATTCATTAATTATTTTATTTGTGAATTCAGTGAATGTTTTAATAACCATTAAAAACCTTCTCTCTGGGGGCGCCTGGGTTAAAGCCTCTGCCTTTGGCTCGGGTCATGATCCCAGGGTCCTGGGATCGAGCCCCGCATCTGACTCTCTGCTCAGCAGGGAGCCTGCTTCCTCCTCTCTCTCTCTCTGCCTGCCTCTCTGCCTGCCTGTAATCTCTGCCTGTCAAATAAATACAAAAATCTTAAAAAAAACAAAAAAAAAAAAAACAAAAAACAAACCTGCTGTCTGCCAGGCGCTGGAGCTGGTAAAGAAAGCAGGTGTGGCCTTGGGATAGGTAATGGTCATATGGCACTTTCCGATATTCAGAACTTTTTCTGGATCCACAGGGATTTGCACAATGGTCTTCTTGCATACTCTCCTTTTTTATAGGTGAGAAACCTGATATGTGTAGGGGTTGGATGACTTACCAAGTCAGATGTCAGGAAATAATAGAGCTGACTCTTGAGCATTTTTTTATCTTTTTTAACCCAGTGCAAGCCTGTTGCTTCTTTTTCTTTCTTTTTTTTTTAATTTTTAAAAAAATTTTCCTTCATTTTATTTTTATTTTTTTAATTTGTATTTATTTTTAATTCCATAATTAACATACAGTGCTGTGTTATTTTCGAGGTACAATGTATCAGTTCAGCAATCCTGTACATTACTTAGTGGTCATTACCATGAGTGTCCCCTTAACCACCTCCGCCTCTTTCACCCATCCTCCCCCACCCCTCCTCTGGCAACCACCAATCTGCAGCCAGACCACCCTGAACGTGCCCAGTCTCACCTGTTGCTTCTTAACTGAAGATCTTAAGTAATAAGAGAATGAGCAATGTCCCAGAGTCACCTGTGAGCCCCTGGCTATGTTGCAGAGTGGGTCCAAACCACATGCTGGTGGATACAGCGCGTCCTGCACAGGAGGAGGCCTGCAGAGAGCTCTAGAACATGCCCGCCCTGTACCCAGGGCTTCTGAACCTGCCTAGCATCACTCAACGGGCACGTGGACGTGCCAAGCCGACCTAGAGGGGCTGCTTAGCTGGCCGTCCTCCTATGGCTGTCTGCCCCTCCTGCCGCCCCCCTGTGCCCCGCCCCCCCCGCCATAAGTCGCCCCCGTCCGCTCTCTCCGCAGCTGGTCCGGGACAACGCAGACCTGCGCTGCGAGCTGCCCAAGCTGGAGAAGCGGTTGCGCGCCACGGCGGAGCGCGTGAAGGCCCTGGAGAGCGCGCTGAAGGAGGCCAAGGAGAACGCCATGCGGGACCGCAAGCGCTACCAGCAGGAGGTGGATCGCATCAAGGAGGCCGTGCGGGCCAAGAACATGGCCAGGAGGGCCCACTCAGCGCAGATCGGTATGTGTGCCCCTGCCCTACGGCCCTGGCGGAAGGTAGGGCTCTGCTGGCCGGAAGCACTGGTGTTCTGGAACATCTGCCAGGCTGTACTCAGGTCTGCAGCAGCTGGAGTGGCTGGTGCCTCCAGGCCCCCTGCACTCTTCCTGGGAGAATGGCAGTGTCAGGCCCCTGCTCCCTCATCGCGAGAGGCTGCAGCACACAGTGTGGCCCTCAGAGCTGCTGCGCTGAGCAGAGAAGGTGGCCAGCTGAGGCTGTCAGTGAAAGGTATTTGGCTGCTTCTCAGCAACGCCCAAAGGCCCCTTCTGTTCTGTACCAGGCAGAATGGGAAGGGGCAGGGGTGTAGCCAGAAGCCTCAGGGAGAGCCACTTGCAAGGGCTCGTTTGGAAGCACCTTAGGAAGAGCGAGGTGGGCCTCCGTGAGCAGGGTGTGGCTCCCAGCCGGGAAGGGGGCCTGGACGTCCACCCCTGCCAAACCTGGATTTGGCCGTTATGCTCCTGCTGACAATGGGGGTGTAGCTGCTAAGTCTTAGTTCCCAGGGTGGAGCCACAGGTGGCAAAGGGATTTAGGAATGTTCTCTAAAGAGCTTTTTTTTTTTTCTTTTTTTTTTTAAACTGAAATGCTTCCAATAACGTGATATTCTTTCCCATCAGATAATGCTATGCAGATGTTTTGTAAACCAGCAAGTTCATGTTTCTGGTTTTTAGATCATACCTTAGATTAATGTTTCATTGCATTTATTGGATTCCGTGCTCTTTGTAAATCCAGAAACTATGGAGCTTCTTCCCAGAAAGTGCATCATAGGGAGAAATCTGCACCCAGTTTCAGGGGCTACGCAGATGCCGTTGGAACCCAAGTGTTACCTGCCTTAGATAAAACTGAAAGTCCTTCTAATTTTCCTCAGCCAGAGTTAAAGTAATTGATATGTAAGTTCTGCCTGTGCCCTAACCATTGGGTGCCCTGGTTTAGCAAACTCTACTGTCAGGAGAGCAGACATCGTGCTTTCAGAAAGGTCTGGTGCTTGATGAGAATTGTAATGATAAAAACTGTGTGTCTTGGTTTTCACACGTGACCCGTGGTCCTGTGGGTGTGGCCATTTACGCCCATCTGAACACGCTGTCCTTTCTGTCGGATACAGCCAAGCCCATCCGCCCTGGACACTACCCGGCATCATCTCCGACAGCCGTCCACGCCATCCGAGGGGGAGGAGGTGGTTCTTCAAACTCCGCTCACTACCAGAAATAAATACGAGTGAGTCCCTGGTGTCCTGGTGGTTTCTGTCTCGGGCAGCCCCGGGGTGGATCCCTGCCCCTGCCTGGTTCTCAGCCCCTGGCATGTGCCCCTACGAGAGTGAACAGTTTCGCTCTCCTGGAACAGGTGCCTGGGGGGTAGCTTGCTTACCTCAACTCTGAGAAGAGCCTCCTGGTCTTCTCACTAGGGCCACCTGGTGCTGGGGACCCTCCCAGGGGATGGAGGAGGGTGTGGCGGATGACTCACTGGAGCTCTCTTTTGTCTGTGGGACTTCCCTGTGCAGCTGGCATCCAGAAGGGCATTACCTGTTTGTCAACTGCTTTTGCCCAGAGCGGACAGATGTGGGTGGTTGCTTTAAGTTTTAGGAACTGGATATAAAGAAAGGGCCAGATAGAGAAAGTCATGTTTTTATAATTGCTCTCTGAACTCAACAATTTAAGAATGGTGCTAATTTGTATCTAGGTAGGTCAGGACTACCTTTTTTTATTTGAGATGATGGTCTATAAATATTCTTCCTGCAATCCACATGCGTGGGATTGTTCTACCAGCAAACAAACACAAAAAGTGATACACTTTAGAAAAGAGAAGGAGAGACCATGAACGGTCCTTTTGTACTTGAGCTGGAGAAAAGAGGTTACTAGGGTTGGGTGGGGCAGACAAACAACTAGGTGGCCAGAAAACTGTCTAGGAAAACTCCGACTTACAACCAGTAACCTTTGGGTGGGAGGGGGTAGCTGCAAATGTTGTCCTCGGACTCTAAGCCCTCACTAAGGAAGCAAGCTTGCAAGACAGGCACGCTGGCATGGCCAGGCCACTGTGGTCATGGCCAACTCCATAGAGCACGGAGTCCTCTCCTGTCCTTTCCGATCAAGGTAAGGGACGTGTAGGTGAGGGTCAGGAGCCCTCTCTCGGGGGACATGACAACACTGCTAAGGCTCACACAAAAGCTGCCAAGGAGCAAGCTTGGCGTCCGCCCCCAGACAGCTCTCTCCGGCGCTGCCCCAGGCAGCATGCCAAGGAGCAGGACAGGCACTGGTCAGATGGGGGAGGAACAGGAGGGAAGGCCGGGGCAGCCCAGGGGTGGACGGCATGTCCACCACCTTCTGCCATATCCTAAAAGGGTGGATGGGAAGTTGTCGCGGCAGCGGGCCACCCCATTCAGATCTGATCACTTTCCATTACAGATAAAATAATTTGGATGTTATAAAATTGCTTTTCACGGCACATTGTTGGTGCTGGGGCTGGCCCTTGAAGGGAGCTGTACGCTCCTTTGAGGCAGCGTAGGATAGAAACCTAAAGCGGTGGTTCTTGAACTCGGGTGGGCATCAGTATTCCCTGGCACCAAAGACCTAGGCTCCGTGAAGCCGCTTTGGGCCTGAGCCTTTGTGTGTTTACTGAGCACCACAGGCGATGTCGTTAGCCACCAAAGTTCGAGGACTCCAGTCCTGAGGGAACTGTGGCATCTCTAGGGCAGAAGTGAATTTCTCTGTCATGTTAAGGAAACCTCAGGGTGGTCCTGTCCTCAGCAAGTACCTTCCTTCCTCAAGGTCACCTCAGTGGCTTCTGTTCTAGTTCTCATGCCAACGCACTGTGGTTAACAAGCAGAGAGGAAGCTGGGAAGAGGCAAAAGCCCCTTCTCAGCCGAATCCGCTTCCTTTCATGGCCTTCCTGAGGTCCATGTAGTGCGGATGCCTGCGTCCCTCTGGCCAGATCTGAGGCACGTGGCCAGGTCCAGCTGTGAGGGGTGCTGGAAAGCAGCAGCTTTGAGCTAGGCACATCACCACGTAAGAATAGTGTTCTTTCTTTATTTTTTAATTTTTTTTTAAAGATTTTATTTATTTGAGAGAACAAGAAGAGGCAGAGGCAGAGAGAGCGGGAGAGGCAGGGTCCCCCCTGAGCAGGGATCCCGATGTGGAGGTCAATCCCAGGACCCTCAAATCATGACCTGAGCCGAAGGCAGATGCTTCACCGACTGAGCCACCCCGGTGCCCAAGAGTGCTACTGTTCCTTAGCTGAGGACAAGGCGATTGGTGCTGGGTGGGCAGCCAGAGCCTGTGCTAACAGAGCCCCTACTACACAGCAGAGCCGTGCTCATGCAGTACCTACTTAACCTCCTTCGGTGTAAGCGTGCAGCGAGGTGGCCATGCTGGGCTCCCGGCAGGCTCTCCATAAGTACACAGGCCCAGGGATTCTGGGGTCCAGAGACTGTGCAGCACACAGCCACTTCCCTCATGCAGTCCCATAAGGGTCTGTCGGACCCACATTTTGCATAAGCTTCATACAACAAAACGTTCCCTTCTCACACTTGAGCTGGAGAGGCAGTAGGTCTAGTGAGACTTCTTAGACCTTAAGGCTAATAGAACCACCCTTATCCATCCTGGTGGTCCATTGCTTTCTTTAACTTGAGGTGGTATAAGGGAATTTGATTGTTTTCTCTGCAGCTGAAGCCCCCTTGAGCCACTCTCCCTATACATACAACTCCTGTAGCTGGGTGCATTCTCCACATCACAAAACAGAGAGGCGCCTTTCTGGTTATCAGGATGGCAGTGTGGTCGAGGAACCTGGCTTTAGACGGGAGACGGTCACGGTGTTAGCTAGGTTTTCTGCTCTCCCAAAGTTACTTACCCTTAGATTCGCTTCTTCATCCGTGAAATGGGGAGAATCCTTTCCCTGGATCACTGGTTTTGAAATGAGGACTAACTGAGGTCATACCTGAGTTGCTTGGCATCTAGCAGGTGCACCATAAAACCGTTGCTGCCGTAGAGAGCAGCAGAGTGCTGTGTGGCCCGCAGTAGGTGGTGGATGAATGTTGGCTTATGGTCTCCTTTAATTCACGTAGTCGTTGCAACATAAGTTTTTAGTCCCTTACCCTAAATTCTCATCACTGAGTGGGGAAGGCCCATGACTGAGTATCCTGTTTGATGCTAAGACCAGATATAAGGTGTTTCAAAGATATTATCATTTATTTGTCTAAAAGTTATGAAAAAGACTTTTACGAAAAAGACTGGGGAGGAAAAAAAGGATAATAGCCAATGAATTAGGAAATTATCATTGAAAGAGAGAAAATGCAAAATCATTTAAAAAAAAAATTGGAGGTGCATCTGGGTGGCTCAGTCAGTTAAGCGTCTGCCTTCAGCTCAGGTCATGATCCCAGGGTCCTGGGATCGAGCCCCAGATCGGGCTCCCTGCTCTGTGGGGAGCTTGCTTCTCCCTCTTCCTCTGCTCCTTCCCCTGTTTGTGCTTACTTGCATGTGTGCTCTCTCTCTCTGTCTCTCTCAAATAAATAAATAAAATCTTTCTTAAAAAGATTTTATTTATTTATTTGACAGACAGAGATCACAAGTAGGCAGAGAGGCAGGCAGAGAGAGAGAGGAGGAAGCAGGCTCCCTGCTGAGCAGAGAGCCCGATGCAGGACTCGATCCCAGGACTCTGTGATCATGACCTGAGCTGAAGGCAGAGGCTTTAACCCACTGAACCAACCAGGTGCCCCTATAAATAAAATCTTAAAAAAAAAAAAAA